TTAATTGACATATATAACTTCTTTGAAAATGCCAAAAATTTTTCTAACGTTTCCCATACTCCTCCTCCAGAGTTTGAGGATCAAGTGCTGATTTATAATGAATAAAAAATGATTTCATATTTAGAAACTTTTTTGTTAATTTCTGAACGATTTGAGTATATGAAACATGAAAAAGGAGTCATTTTAGTGTTTCCTTTTGATAAGACTCTACAGTCTATTCCACAACATCCCAGGCCGATTCTTGTTGAACTTTGTAATACTCAATGTGTAGTGTGAAATCATATAACTCTGACTTCTCTAGATCGATTTCTTCCAAAATGATGATTGTGGCGAATATCTTGTAGGTGCCAAGAGTTATCTAGAAGGCTGAAATTTTTTATCATAATGAGTACTCATTGAAATCTTCCTCTGATCAAAATTTCAACTTTTTAACATGATTCATTCACAAAATATGTATATGCACAAAATATCAAAAAAAAATGACAACTTTTTTGTATACATGGTGGCATTGGTCAACTAATCAATGGTTCATCCATTTGAGCTCATTTTTTTAATGGTAGCTACTCAAATTACAGCACCATTCATACTGGAAATTTCAAGTCAAACTGATGTTTTCATGTCGAGATACAACTCTCACAAAAAGTTGTAAATGTATTTTTTTGGTGATAATAATGTTAGATAAATCTCTATCTCGAGAATGAAATAATATTTTTTCGTCGAGCGACTTACGTAGAAATTTATCAAACATTTTCTGCTACAACTTTTATAAAAATTACTCAAATTGGCGACTATCGACGGAGTAGGGTCGGTCTTGGCTTATAACATAGAATGGCTCATAATGAAAACTTACATCAGGTAATTTTGATATTCGACAATGTTTACTATTTGTAACTGCTACAGCTTTTTCATTAGGAATTAATGATTGATGTTTTCTCATTAATGTTAATAATTGTTTATGTGATTGTTCAAAACAAGCTTCAGCTTTTTGTACTTGTTCAGTTATCTATTTGAAAATTTGAAAATTTTCTACAACAAAAAACAAAAAAAAGAATTCTTACTTCATTAAATTCTTTATCAACAAGTTCTAAAGCTTCTTTTGTTAATGTATGTTGATCGATTTGAGTTAGATCAAGTTTTAATAAATGTCCAACCATTGTTTTAATTGTTGGTCTTTTCCATCCATAAACTTCTTCATATTCATGTAATGTTCGAATAATTTCAGACAAATGATTAATACGTTTTGTCTAAAATAAAATTTTTGAAATAAAATTTCAAAAAAAACAAAAATTCGAATACTTTTTCTTCACGTAATTCAGTGATATGTTCAGATAAAAGACTTATTTGTGTAACTAATTGTTTTGAATTAAAATTTGAATTATCAATTTGTAATGAACGTTCATTTAATTCATTACATAATTGTCTTTCTTCACGACGAATATCTGGTTCACATTCAAGTAATTTTTCATGTTCTTCTTTTAATTTTTTATATTCATCAACATAAATACGTAATGCTTGAAGAACAGGTAATGTATTTCCATATTGTGGACATGTTTTATCTGGATGTAATTCATGATAAAGTGATTCAAAACGTGCACGAATTGGTGTCAATTCAGTACGTTTACGTTCAAGTAAAGCATCATCTTCAGCTATCATTTCAGTAACCATTTTCTAAATTACAATTTGTTTATAAAATAAAACAAAAACAAAAACTGTAAATTATTACTTGAAGTTCACGTTTAGTTTCTTCAATAAGTGTACTTGGATCATCACCAGCATTAAGACACATTTTAATAATAGATGGAATATTTTGAGAATAAACTTCATTGACGATATCACCAGGTTGTCGAATTAAGGTTTGTGACATAGTGGAAAATTTAAATAATATACACACACTCTGTGATTTCAATAGGAGATCAAAACAAATAAGGAAAATTTTCTTATTTATTTGATTGAACTAGAGAGTTAGTTTTGTATATGTATATTATCATTGGCTGATTAAACAAAGAGCTCTAGATTTATTAGTGATGTATATAATTAAATGTTTATTTATTTATTATCTATTAAAAAAAACCAGACTTTTCGGATAACAAAATATTCTAGTTATCCTAGAAAATAAAATGATCTTTAACCAATAGATGACGCTCTGTACACGACAATTCATTTTTACGATTTCTTATCCTAAATAGCAAATGTACCAAGCAGAAACAACATACATGAAGTCTTTAGTACATCCTGTTTTCTTATTTGTGTTGATATGAATGAACGATAATGTGTACAGCGCGATATCTTTTGATTAACTCAATATAATTAAATGAATGGTAAAGTAAAAATGAAGTTGCTGGAAGTAATTCAAGTCAAAATGAATAACTTCAATAGATTCAATCTAAAAAATAATTACTCAATATAGTTCTATAATGATCATATAGATATGCATAACGAAGAAGAAGAAGAAACATGAAAATGACAATGTTGATTGATTTTTCCTGATGTTACCTTTTAATCAAATAGGAAAAATCTGTGGTTTTTGTATGTTTCTGTTGAAGTAGAATGTTCGATACTTTTTCTTTCAAATATTTTCTTGCTCCTTTCAGATTATGAAGCTATTGTATATATATATTTGCCGTTTATTTAACCTTATGTATTTGTTTTACATTTTTGATCAGACAACAAAATGAACATTTATTTATTTTTCTATTATTATATAACAAACTTCAACCTATGTATACTTTGCTTGCAAGAATCAAGTATACATGTACATTTTGCTCGGTTAATCAGTTTTTTTTTAGACAAGTTTTTATAGATTCCTTTAATATATAAGTTCGAATCTCTCTTCGTCATGATAACGGATGGACTGAAAGTTTTGAGACACAATATTTATTTATTATTTGAACTACCCTGAAAATATTTCCGATGAGTCAAAAGTTATGAGTTATGATCAAAATTATATGTTCTATCCAAATATGAGCTTAAAAATTTTCTTGACACTAATGAAATGATCTTTTGAAAGATCAGAAAAAAATTGTGATAGAAAATTTTTCTGTACACTTTTGTACTTTCACTATTGCAATTCAAAAGTAATTGTTGATACTTTTATTAAGATATCAACTTGTAGAACAGAAGCTGCCCTACAAAATGCATTATTAAAGTTTTTTGTGGGTTTCTACAGGTCATTTCGATTTTGGCTTCTCTTGAATCTTCATGTTTGAAAAATCAACTTTTTGGCCAAAAAGCATTTTGTATAGAATGGAGCTCTATAGTTTCACTGAAGTAAAAGTTATAGTTTAGTCCAATCTAAAACTTTGTAAAGAAGTGTCGACTTGAGAAAACAACCGACTCCAATATTTTTTGTCATCTTCGAAAAGAAACCTATAGGAATTAGAAAAAGCCTATTGTTCCACTATTCAATCTAGTTTTTCGGGTCTTAAAAAATTCCTTCATTAGTCTTGAACAAAAATAGATATTATATTTCTAATCCCATATTCAAAGAGAGCACAGAATTCTGATTGTCATTCATCGTTTTTGTCCTGTCTGAGACATTTTCAAGCAGAACCTTTGACTTATACTTTCCGTCCAAATTGATTTTATGAGTCTTTCAAAGATTACCTCGCCACACTCAAACAAACACTGAGACGAAATTTCTAAGACCACATTCGGGAAGTGTGCAATATGCTGGTCATATCCATAGCTTTTTGACTTCTTGGAAACACTTTCAAAGGAGTCAAAATAAAAAAACAATATTTTGTCTGAAAACTTTCGTTTCACCCGTTATACTCTACCTATATCATCAAAGATAATTTTCATGATAATTAATATCAAGACTATTTTTTGCTATAAACAATCAAATAATTAATTGATCTAATGATTCATTGATAAATATTATCATCAAGTTTTTTTTTCGTTCATTGGACCAAATGTATAAGTATATATTATACACGTTGGTTTTCCTTTTACTGATATTAATAGTTTTATTGCTTGAGATACGAAACTATAAATATTGATCTTCATCAGATAATTTGATAACATACATAAACAACGGCTATAGGTACATGACAGCTTATGTCAATCAAATTCAATTATTCGATTGTCATTGTATAAAACGAATTAGTCAAGGTTCACACCTTTTTTTTTTGTATTTCTACAAGCTTTAATTCAAAAATAAAATTAAAAAAAAGAAATCAGTAACAAAAATACAAGTAATCATTAAATGTAAATATTATATACGATTAAACAAGATTATCAAACTGCGAACTAACTATTCATACATACATGTGATAGTACATTTATATATATATATTTCCGACTTAAACATAATTTCAAAAGGATATATTACTCATATAAATGATTATTGTATTTAATCATACCGATGAATCAGTACATATTCTAAATAACAATAAAAATTATTAAAAAGTTGCTTCAACCATATATAATCGTACCTTTTTGTTTCGTAATATTGTTGTTAATGAGATCAACAACAAGGTTTTTTATTAATACGTTCTCAAATCAATAAAATAATGAGAACAAGGATAAGTATTCCAATGCCAACAACTATGACTTGTCCATTGACATTTTCGTTGCTTAATTGCCAAAGAGAAAAAAAGTTAAATGCACGACGAGTACTGTATACCATTTTGTTAGCAACTACAAATAATTTCGTAATTGTTTGCTATATATTAGAGTCTGTTTTTTCCTATATAGCCATCCTTCTTTCTGCAACGAGATTCTTTCATTAGACTTGATGAAAAATTTATGGATGTGCTAACAGCACCACACAGTACCACATGTCATCTATTATTATAGATAATATTCCAGCAAAAACAGAACATGATAAATGTCTTTGAAAAATCTATTTCAAAATATCTTTATTGAAACTTTCGATCGGTTAAACAAACGATTAAATCAATCACTGATAAAAATCTCATTTTTTTTTTCAAACGAAACGACAATTATCAAATATATGTTACTCAAGGTGAATAAAGATATAAACAAAAAAAGAAAAATTATCATTCGCTTTTTTCGTGTACTTTTATCTTTTTTGTTTCATGTTCGATCATATTTGAATTATTATGAGCAGTTGTTTCTATTATAATATCAGAACCATCTGTTTCAGTAAGTGTTCCATCTTTATGTAAAATAGTTTTAATTAGGCGATAAGTAAGACTAACACGTCGTTCACATGAACGTTTAGTTTTAATAATAGAATGTTTCCAAATTGAATTTGATTTCCATCCAAGATCAAAAAGTGAACCTGATTTTAAATGAATATCTTCTGTTATCTTGCTTCCATTATGTTTTAAACGTAAAATTCTTTCACCACCAAATGAAAATACTAATACATTAGAATCATTTACAAAATCACGAGTTTTATCAAAATGATATCCAATATGATCATTATTATCTATCGATAAGAAGATAGATCTATTTTGAATTATCTAATAAAAATTTATAATTACCTCGATATTGATTAACAACACAATGATTACATTTTTGACCAGTTATTTCAAATAATCTATCTCGCAATCTTTTAAGTACAGGTGGCCATGCTTTTACTTCTGGATAAATAATATCCTTTTTCGATTCATATCGATAGAGTGGATCTATTGAGATATATAGAAGAATTGTTTTTTTTTTTTGAAAAGAATTCATTTCAATACTTACAACTACCATCTGAATAAACATCACCATAAAAAGCTTTATCACGTGGTAAAAGATTAATAGTATTAAAAATTTTAAATTGAAATTGTTCACGAGGTAAATAAACAATTTGTTCATCAAGTTGTTTTAGAATTTCGATTGATTCATTTGAAGAAAATAGTGATTCTTCATACCAACTATCTCCTTCTCCCAATATTTTCCGTTGACAATGAACATGTTGTTTTATATCAATTTGACAATCATTGTCGGTAGACTGTGATTCTTTCTTACGTTTAAGCGTTTTAGATGATGATGCTGACATGATTAATTCGAAATAATGAAATCGTAGAAAAAACCAAGTATAGTACAAATATTGATATAGAATTGTGAAATATTTACGGATCCGACAGAAGGAAAAAAATTCTCTTGAGTCAATATGAGTCATGATGGTAAGGTCAGAGGGCAGTAGTTAATCACAGTTTTATTTTTAGAAAAGATCGACTAATTTTAATACAATACTATTTTGATTTGTCCTTTTCAATTCAATGAAATACTAAAATTTCTTTTTTTTTCTACATAAATTATTTCGTCATATTTTCTAGTTGATAAGAACATTTTGTTTTTTTTTTCGATATTGGTATTTGCCCTTCTGTTCTTTTACATCACCTTGTTATTGTGTATGTACATAATATTAGTAATATTTACTTAGTTTTACAACGATGGTTATAAAAAAGCAGTGAACTGTGACGCATTTCTACATAAGTTACATCGTTAAAGTGAGGAGAGGAAAAAAAGTGTCATTCTTTTTTATTTTTGACGGGTGTGTGTGTGTGTGTCAGTAGTGTCATCAGACAAACGAAAATGGCCGATAATTTAACTGATGTTATGCGTCGTGAGCAGAACTTAACTAATAATAATTCAAGTACTAGACCTTCATCACTTTCACGTTTACTTTCACGAAAAATATTGGATAACAATAGTAGCAATCATCAACATCAAAAATCAATAGATTACTATAATGATGTATTATCTTTAAATCCTCTACGTACTTCGAAATCATTATATAATGGTATAAATTTAGATACATCTTATGATACTGATGGAGCAGTAGCAAGATCTCGAAATATATCAAAACATCATTTTCATAATAGTGATAATTATGAATTTTTAGTCTCACCAAGACTACCTGTACGACGATCCCTAAAAAATTCATCAAAACAAGTACCAATTGGTTCATTTCAACAACGATTATCTGACAAAGTTCGTCTTACTACTGATTCATCTCTTGATAACACTCAACGTGATTATGATAGAGATGAAGATTTAAACTATGACAATGATAGACATCGTCGACATAGTCGTCCTAATCGTCGTATTCATCAATCATCTATGCCTAGTGAAAATGATGAAGTGCATGATGTTCATTTAGCTGTATTACCACAACATGTTAGATCATTTGCTACTATTCCTTCAGTAAAACCATTACGAATTATTTTCATCCGTCATGGTGAACGAGCCAATCAAGCACTTGGTTCAGATTGGTTTAATAAAGCTTTTCGTACACATACATATAGAGCTTATGATCCAAATTTACCATTTATTTTACCCAAAAGACGTTTTAATCAAGCATATGAATTTGATGTACCATTAACAGGTCAAAAAAAAGAAAAATTTTTATCTTCCACTTTTTTAAATTTAATAATTTATATTATTTATTGTAGTGCATGGTTTACAAACTGCTCGTCTTACTGGACATATTCTAATGAATAATAAGCTTGTAGCTGATATTTGTCTTTCATCAACAGCTCTTCGTTGTATACAAACATGTGAACGTATTCTAACAGGTATATTAGAATTTCATTGGCTTTTTTTTTGTTCCAATAAAATATTTCTTGAAAACTTCATATAGGTATGGAACGTCGTGATCGTATTCCAATTCGTATTGAACCTGGCCTATTCGAATGTCCACATTTTAATCATAAAATAGTCAATAGTTTTATGACAAAAAAAGAATTAATGGAAAATCGATATAATATTAAACATGAATATAAACCAATTATTTCAAAAGTAATTGTACCAGAAACATTAGATGAATATTTTGAAAGAAGTGCTACAGTTATGCGTGAAATTATTGATAGATATAGTACTTATGGTGGTACAATACTTATTGTTACACATGCACCAGGTTTATTAGCATTGACTAGTGCAATAAAGGGTTTAAGACCAAATACAGAAAAATTTTATCGTACTGTATCAACATATCCACCATTAGCAATATATCTTGCTGAATATGATGGATCACGATGGAAATATTCGGATCAACCGTTTAATGTTATTTCGAATGAGTAATAATAAAAATAACATTTGATAAACTAGAACAAAGAAATTAAGATATATATTTATTTATTTATTTACTTTTTTTTCCTATAAAAGAAATTATTTTATCTTTAATTAAGATTTTGTTTCTCTTATTTTATTAATATTGATAATAAAATTATTTTTGTTAATTCAACAATCTTTGGAGATGTTCATGTTGATGGTAGATCGAGTGATTTACTCAATAATAAATATGACTTATTTTAGATATTTATTATTTTTCTAGGAAGTTAACAATGAATAAAATAAATAAATGATCAAGTGATACGAAGTAAAAGAACTTTTACTATAAACGAGCAAAAAATTAAATTACGTTATAATTTTAATTGATAACTTTTATTTTATCAATCGTTAAACGAACTTTCTTTTCCTATTTTCAATTCAATCTGAAAAAAAAAGTCTTCTGTGAACTTGCGCAAGCATTCATTTTAATCTACAGATGTCATACTAAGCAAATAATTTATTGGGTTTCTTCATTGCTCAATCAATTTACTTCATGATTCATATGGATCGACTTTCTCTAGAATGAAAAACAAATATTTCCTAAGAATAATTTATTTCAATAGTATCAAATATTTTTTTCAAAAGAATTAAAATTAAATATAGTCTATATATTGTTTTAGATTAAATGACTGATCAACGTTTTAAATATTATACTGGTTATGAAGTTGATAATGAACCGAGTGATGATGAAGACGAAATCCCTTGTAGTACCGCCATAACTCATGGTGATGTTAATTCGGACAGGTAAATTAATTTCAATACTTTATAAATTTTTATTTTGAAATAAAAAAAAATAAATAATATCTATTTAGTTCTGATGATGAATTTGATCGACCACTACGTGAATATATCGAAAAGACAATGTCACAAGAAACGAAAAATAAAACTTCATCATCAACATCTACTACTGCAAATGCATTTGCTAATGAAATGGAAGATGAATTAGATCAAATCTATCATAATTTTATTTCACGTGGAACATTTGATTTACCAATATCTAGTAAGTTTTCTATTTTTATTTTATTTTTATAGAATATATTTTTGCTTTATTTATTATTTTAGCTCAAAAAACACAAGAAAAGAAAATAGTAGTTAATAAACAAAATGAAGATGATAGTGATGATGAAAAAAGTAAGATATTTCTTTTATTTTGTATTAAATAAGAAATTTTTCTAGATCAATCAGTAGTGAATAAAGATGATCAAGATAAAATTAATGATGATCTTTTATATGATCCCGATGAAGAAGAAGAAGATGAAAAATGGATGACAAATGAACGTCTTAAGTATATTCATTTTTGTTTTCTGCTTATATTCATTTAAAAATTATTTTACTTAGATCTCGAGGAGTCAACAATTCACAAAAATTAGATGCATCATCACTCGGACCAACTGATGCAGTTCTCAATTGTCCAGGTTGTATGATATTAGTTTGTCACGATTGTCAAAGGTAATCTAAAAGAAGACTTTCGATTATTTGTTCTAATCTTTAATTTGTTTTTTTTGGAATAGGCATGAAACCAATCGAAATCAGTATCGAGCAATGTTTGTCTTTAATTGTGCAATTGATGAAAATCGTATTGCTCGTGTATCAACGGCTAACAATAAAAAATCATTGAAACAAAAGAAAAAGAATAATAATAAACGATTTAAAACAGATGATTCTGATCCTTTAAATGATAAAGAAGAACAAGAAATTAAAGATGATATATTAAGACCTGTATTATGTAGTGAATGTGGAACAGAATTAGGTGTTTATGAACCGAAAGAAGAATTGTATCATTTTGCTAATGTACTTGCTAGCCATTGAATCATTTATTTATTGTTGTTAATATACACTTGCGAATAAAAACCAAGCATTTTTTTAAAAATATGTCAAGTATTACCTACGAATGACCGATATCATAGCTAATTTTCATTGTTTGAGACTATTAGTTATTATAGCAAAATATTTGTTCTCGAATATAACAGAGAAATGATGATAAGGTTATCGATGGAATTTTCGTTATGAAGAAATCATATGCATAGTCTGTGAGAGAAAACTTGTCTTGTAATAACAATATCAACACAGAACTTATCGAGTCAAGACTGTTTAACTTTTAAATATGATCATACAAGTTAGTTCACTACCAACAAAAACCTTATGAGACCATTGTTATCGGACTATATCCAAGAGAAATATAAACAGGATAAAAAAAAGTATTTTGTTCAATAATTATAGTAAAATAACACAAACACAGATTAGCTTGCCGATTCCTATTGTACGATACTTTCTATGCTATGCTCAGTAGAATAATGAAATCATTTAACTCTCCATTTAAAGATTCGGGCGTTACCAACCGACATGATACCCCAAGATATAGGATAGGGAATAATATTATTCTAGGGAAGAGTATATAATGAATTTTATACCAAATGAAAGCTCGTCGAAAATGGGATTTATTGATACTAAAAAGTAAGGGTTTGGTAAACTTTGTAATGTTGATTTTCAAAAATTTTGAGAAATTTCACACATTTTCAACATAGAAAACTAAG